TAGTGCACAGTTTATTATCGTCCTGTTCTACATAATTTATCATTACTGGAATATCGCTGGTATCCTCCTGTGTAAAAACTGAGAGGAAGTATGTGTTAAAAATTCTACACATTTCCTTATCACTGTCAGTGAGCTGACCCGAGGAACTTTTGAGTGGGCCTATCTTGTCCCTGATCTTACTTCTGTATACCTGAAAGAATCCTTTTGGGTTAGTCTTCGATTCTCTTGCAACTTTAACCTCATAATCTCTTTTTGCTTTTCTAATTCCCTTTTTTATTTCTCTCTTTAACTGAATATATCGATTTCTCAATTGCCCTCTCCTCTTTTGATTTGCCTATATATGCCTCTCTTTTGACCAGTCAGATATTTTAATCTATTGTTCATCCATTTAGGATCATTTTTGTTTGATCTGATTTCCCTATTTGGAACATAATTTGACTGAGCAGCTAGAACTATGCCCTGGAAAGCATCATATCGGCAACCATCACCACCTACCTGACCCTTAGTCAGGTCATTCCAGTTCAGCCCACCTAAGTAATTTTTCAGTCCTATGAAATCAGCCAAGCGAAAGTCAGGGACGGAGACTTGATTGCCATTATTAGGGGAATTCCATGATATATTAAAACTGAGTGATTTGTGATCACTTTCCCCAAGCTCATCATTAACCTCAAGGTTATTAATTAGTGTTTCCCTACTGGCAAGAACCAAGTCAAGGAGGTTATTTCCCCTAGTTGGCTCTGTCACAAACTAAAGCTAACTTCGAGGAGTCATTTATTGCACCATTCACAGGCTTGATTTTCACACGATGCGACAGCATTGTGAGAAGGTTGTGATGTTTGTAGAATATAAATTCCCCTCCCCGGCGGGGTAGAAGAGAGGCTTCTTGAGTGTAGAGCAACTGTGTGATCGGACAGAGCACGACAGGAATGGAGTGTACTAATGTCCTCAATAGAATGAATTGGACGGCCTATTTTGGTGTCATCAGCAAATTTGCTTATGTCGCTATTTATTCCCTCATCTATATCGTTTATGTAAATTCTGAACAACAAGGGGCCCAACATTGACCCCTGTGGAACACCGCTTGTGACGTGCCCCATTCTGATTTCTCCCCATTTATGCATACTCTTTGCTGCCTGTTTGTCAACCACACCTCTACCCAGGAAATTTTTTTTTCTATTCCGTGTGCCTTATGTTTCTTCAAAAGTCTCTGATGTGGAACTCTATCGAAAGCCTTACTGAAGTCCATATACACAATATCATATTCATTACCATGATCTACTTCCTCAAACACCTTAGCGAAAAAGTTTGTAAATTCGAAAGACAGGAACGCCCTTTAGTAAAACCGTGTTGAGATTCATTTATCAATTTATGCCTATCAAGATGGCTACGAATTGCCTCGGCAATTATTGATTCCATAAATTTTCCCACTATGGAGGTAAGGCTTACTGGTCTATAGTTCGAAGCTAAGGACCTGTCACCTGCCTTGTAAATAGGTACTGTATACCTGTCTTGCACAAGTATTACATTTGCCATTTTCCACTTATCAGGCACTATGCCAGTTTGTAGTGATATGTTGAAAAGATTAGCCAAAGGTTTGCAAAGTTCCTCTTTACATTCCTTTAAAACCCTTGCAAACAGTTCATCAGGGCCTGGGGATCTGTTAGGTTTTAATTTCTCTATTTGTCTGAGGACCATGTTACTAGTTACTGCAATCGTGCAAAGTTTATTATCGTCCTGTTCTACATAATTTATTATTTCTGGAATTTCACTAGTATCTTCCTGAGTAAAAACTGAGTGGAAGTAAGAAATTGAAAATTTCACACATATCCCTATCACTGTCAGTGATCTGAGCTACTCTTAAGTGGGCCTATCTTGTCTCTAATCTTACTTCTGTATACCTGAAAGAACCCTTTTGGGTTAGTCTTCGAATCCCTTGCGACCTTAGCCTCATAATCCCTTTTTGCTTTTTTATTCCTTTTTTTATTTCTCTTTAATTGAATATACTGATTTCTTAACTGCCCGTTCCCTCTTTTGATACACCTAAAAATGCCTCTCTTTTGACCATTGAGATGTTTTAATCTACTGTTCATCCATTTGGGATCATTTTTGTTAGATCTAATTTCCCTACTCGAAACAAAAGTTAGATGAGCAGCTAGAACTATGCTCTGAAAAACGTTATATTGGCAATCAACACCAGCTACCTGACCCATAGTCAGATCATCCCAATTTAGCCCACCCAGGTAATTTTTCAGTCCCATGAAATTAGCCAATCGAAAGTCTGGGACAGAGACTTGATTGCAGTTTACTGGGTAATTCCATAATATATTGAAACTACGTGATTTGTGATCACTTTCCCCAAGCTCATCATTAACCTCAAAATTATTAATTAGTGAATCTTTGTTAGCAAGAACCAAGTCAAGCAGATTGTTTCCTCTAGTTGGTTCTGTCATAAACTGTTTTAAAAAAGCAATCCTGAACTGTATCAAGAAAGTCACTAGACTAAAGATTTCCTGTCAAATTGTTCCAATCAATTTGTCTAAAGTTAAAATCCCCCATTAACACAACATTTTCATATCTAGACGCCTTATTAGTGTTTCAAATTACTGTAGTTATACAAGTTTGGAGCAACTTACCCTACAATATTAATGACGCTAAATACTCTACCGTTTCATAGTTTCATATAAAGGTTGGACAAACACAGCCTCGCATTGGCCATGGAACCTTCGGTGGTTTCCTTCGTAATGCAAGTGTTCATAAGTGCACAGAGATGCATGCAAGTGATGTGTGCATGCACAGTCATACATACACATTAGTGTATGCAGACTATATATATATATATATATATATATATATATATATATATATATATATATATATATATATATATATATATATATATATATATATATGTATGTATATATATATATATATATATATATTATATATATATATATATATATATATATATATATGTATATATATATATATATATATATATATATATATATATATATATATATATATATATATATATATATATATATATATGTCGTGCCGAATAGGCAGAACTTGCGATCTTGGCTTAAATAGCAACGTTCATCTTGCCATATAGGACAAGTGAAAATTTGTATATGCAATAATTTCGCCAAAATCATTCTGAACCTAACGAAAAAAATATATTTCACTGTGTTTGTTTAGTATTAAATTACTGTAAACAAATCTAAAATATATATAGTTGGGTTAGGCTAAAATAAATTGCTCTTGTTATAATAAGGTTAGGTAAGTTTTCTAAGATTCTTTTGGTGCAAAATTAAAAAAATTTACATTAACCTTAATGAAAAAAATTTATCTTTAAACGTATAAGAGAAAATTTCAGAAAGGACTTAATTTTAAATGAGTTCTTGCTAATTGACCAGTTTTACATATTCGGCACGACATATATATATATATATATTATATATATATATATATATATATATATATATATATATATATATATATATAATATATATATATATATATATATATATATATATGTATATATATAGGATGGGGTCCACCTCTGGTGTAAATTGTGGGACCCATAGCCTCGGAGAAGTGGATAAAAAGGCTTCAAGGAAGAATATTTGGATTTCTTCCTGAAAGCCATTTGAATATTCCACTTCCCTACCACCCCATCTTTTGAACTATTTTTTTTTTTTTTTTTTACCAATAGGAATATTTTATTACATAATATGGCACAGAAGATTTAAGAGATACATTGTTGATATAAAGGTGGATATACGGTACATGTTGTTATGTGTGTATCACCGATTATAAGGCGAAAATCTCTCATCCAGCTCCTCAGAGCTTGGGGCGTGTGCCCAAAATGCAGCATGCATTACCCCTTTGAACAGCCGCACTGAGCCGCTGGAACAGAAAATAGCTGCCTGGGATCCTAGTTTACCCTGATGAGTCTTTTTCCAAACTCTTAAGGAAATTAGAAGCATCTTTCCATGAGCCATGGGTCTTAGGCCTATGGAACAAACTATAATGATGGGAAGTTTCATATTTTCTAGACTTTTGGGACTCTAAAAGTGGCACTGCCTCTTCACCCTGTGTATTGGAGATAGGATCAGAAGGTAATGCAACATGTATAGTCACACACATGTTCCACTGTCAGGCTTGAAGGGTGTTACCATCTGACGCTTCTGGCTGCTCAGATCTGCCAGTTGGGTGGTCCTTATGCTGGCATCAGCTGTTGTGAGTCCTCTTGATATTTATTAACTCCTCATGTCTTGCAATCTTTCCTCGGATTTACGCACAAACCATGGTACGAATCGGTCATATATATATATATATATATATATATATATATATATATATTATATATATATATATATATATTTATATATATATATATATATATATATATATATTTATATATATATATATTATATATATATATATATATATATATATATATATATATATATATATATATATATATATATATATATATATATATATATATATTTCATTTATGTTAAATTAATAATTTTCTACCAAAAGAACCTTAGAAAACTTACCTAACCTTATTATAACAAGCGCAATTTAATTTAGCCTCATCCAACTAAATATATTTTAGATAAGTTCACAATACTTTAATAATAAAAACAATGAAATATATTTTTTCGCTAAGTTTAGAATGATTTTTGCGAAATTATTGCATACACATTTTAGTTTGCCTTATACGGCAAGAAGAGCGTTGCTATTTAACCCAAAATCATAAATTTTACCTATTTATATTGCAGGTATTCTAGTAAATATACTCTTAGTAAATAAATGTCATGTACACCAATAATATATGATCATGTGGGTGTTGTATGGGTGTGAAGAGCTGTGTTTGAGAATACTAATCTAAATATTTTTATCTAAGTACCTAGAAAATTGTGCTGAAAACTTTATTAGTTTTGAAAACACTGATTGGCCTAAGTATAGATATCCCATGATTGACATACCGTTGTGTGCAACCTTGATGAGCTGGTTAAGGATTTGGTCTGGGGTGCAGGATTCCCAGCCCCAGTCCTGGAGGAGGGCTGATGGGAGACATAACTTAACTACTGTCAAGAAGTCCTCTCTCAGCCGCTGGTGTGGGTTGGGGTCCTGCGAGGGCTGTGCTCCGCCCCGCCTAATCACAGATGCTAACTGCTGCTCTGGAGAACAAGACGCCTGTTGCAGTTTTAAAGCCTCTGGCACCGATAAGAGATCATTCAGCACCAGCTTCAGACGCCCCATGAAAGCCTCATCTTTGAAGGTGTCATTCGGGGTTTGAGTGAGAGATTTGTCCTGCGAAATTGTGTGGTGTGGCAAGCTATTCTGGCATCTTGTAGTGGTCGACTCGTAATGTAGTTGTCCAGCACCAGGCACGGATGCAGGTCGTTTGTTTGATACAGTATTGTTAGTCATAGACTGTGGTCTAAGGGGCGGTTCCGAGGCTGGTCTCTGAAGATTAACATAGCGAGAGCTGTGGAGGCGATGAAGCTGGCCTGGCCCTACATGGCAAATCTTAACCTCTGTTTTCTTCGACTCTGCACTGTGATGGGACTCGCTACTTCCTTCAAGCTGTGAATTATGTTTAGTATTTTGATTAGTCTTTTCTTCGCTCACATTGGGCTTATTTTGGGTAACTTGTTGCTCATTTGCTGGCAAGGCAGTTTGTTTATCTCCGTTGTCTAAGGTAGCCATAGGTTTACATGTATCATACTTACAGTCATTAGATTTTTTCGAAGCTTCGTAGTTGTTATTATTATAGGTTTTATCATGGAGAACGGCAGTATCACTTTTGGATCTGCTATGACCTTGTCCTCTCAGTGTTCCAGTAACAAGTTCGTCTTTTCTCGAAGGCACACGTGGAAGTTGATAGTTTAGTGGTGGTTCTAATGAAAGACAACGACGGAAGAAAGGATGATTGTTTCGAGAAGAAACTTCAGGATTTTCTGTGGATGGGTTATGATGATGACTGTCCTGCAGTGATGTCGCCTGAGGTGCTTGTGCCACGTGGTTTTGCCATTGGGCAGTACGCTCTTGCCCCGAATGAGAGCTTTTTAGGGGCCGAATATGCTGAGAAATGTTGGCCTCCAAACTTTGTCGACGAAGATCAATTACATCAGCTTGTCTCTGTGATATATTGATGGGAGAATCGCGGGATTTTGTCTCTTTTGCATCAAGCGGTGGGCCTATGGGGATAAGCTCCACACAGGGTTTTGGAGGTTCCATAAGCCTACGTCCCTGTATTCTCTCGGGAGGCTTATCCAAGCTATCAGAAGGGCGCTTTACACCCCAGGATGGGTCACAGCTTTTTAGCTGCTCCGGTGTGTAGAGGGGTCTGATTGGGACAGTGGCTCGAAACCTCTCTGGTGATGCATGTGTGGACATGATGGGAGCCTGAGATGTTTGTCCATGCCAGGCTACATCTCGAACAGCCTCCGGACAAGTCTCAAAAGGATGCTTAGGATATCCCTCAGGCAATTGAGGATGCATAGGGCGATACTGACCAGGGCTCGGATGAGCGTTTACGGAATATAGAGCACCTTGAGAATGATGAATGTTGACAGAATTGGCCGGGATGTACATTTCACGTATGGTTCCATGCTTCTGATGCTCAATATGACTTTGTAGATTAGGTCTATCAGAAACTTGCTGTGGAGAAGGTCGACTTGCAACTGTAACTGATGATTGTTCAGGTGATTGTGGAGGCGCACCAGGTGTGTTATGAAGAGTACGAGGAGGAATTCCGTAAGGAACTTCTTTATGTCTAGGGTGTGCGTGGTGCATATCAGGCGATGCGAAGCGTGTGTCGTGATGGAAGGTAGGTGCTCCTGGCGGGGAATGATGCAGGGCTGGAGAAGGATAAGGTCTGAGATCTGTTGAATGGAGAACAGCTGGGGAGCCGTGTGGTAGTGACAAGCGGTGGTTACCTGGTTCTGACGGGGCTCTTGCACGCATCATTGGGGGTCTATTTATGGGTGGGGAGACAGGTCCAACTGATCCTATGAGCTGATATCTGCCAGAGTACTGCGGAAAGTGACGATACGGATGCGGTTCTCCAGGATGCATGGGTATGCGGTGCTGGACAGTGTATGTAGGGTCGGGAGGGTGGGGTTGATACTGGTGATAGTGATGGCGGACTTCTGCAACCGTGTAAGAGCCTTCCGCAGTAGGCCGGTACTTAGGGTGCATACCGTGATGGAACCTTACTTCAGGGTGTCGCAGCCGGTTGCCCAGTGGTATGTTTATTGGTGGTGGCCGCACCCCTCGCAGGTACTGAATATTGGCTGGAACACCGTGTGTATTGCTAAACACCTCTGACTGATGGTGACCGGCTGGCGGCTCATCAACCACGTTCTCCACGAGATCAGAGTCTATTCCTACGGCTGAACACACTCTAGCCAGGATATCTTCTGGGTCTTCCTTTTGGTTACTTGTTTTTATCATTTCACGAACTTCTACACTTGCTGAAGCTTCCAAAAGCCGTTTCTTTTTAGGTATAGGTTCACTCACCCAGCGTCCGTTATCAGACACCTGTGGCTGGTTTGTCATGTGCGGATTACCTGTTTGATGGCTAACAGCTGACTGAATAGTTTTTGAGTGATTTGTTATAGGCTGAGTACAAGGTGGTTGTGAAGATGGATGAGTTGCTGCCGGTTCAGTTACTGTTGACCGTGTAGTGGATCTCGAATCTGTAGTTGTGTTTTCTGGAGCCAGGGCGGCATTGGCCATGACAGGTGTGAAGTGTGTGGTAGTGGTAGTGGCAGTGGTAATAGACTGGGGTGAGTGTGGAGCGATCGGCAGCAGATCGACGGGGTCACGTAGTTTGAGACGAGGCATGCTCATCCCGCCCCCACACACTCTGTGGAACAATTACTCTTGTTAATAAAATCCTTATCATAAAAAGACTAACAAAATAAATGGAATGTGTTCACATGTAGCCTGTAAATTTGGAAATAATAACTGGATATTTCGGTCCGTCCTGGATATGAACAATTATCAAATCACGAGCGAAATGCACAGAAACGTCGTTTCAGTTTTAATTTAAATTATAGGCTAGTTTTGAGTTACTTTATCTACAGCAAATTGTACTATTTAATGATAATTTATACTATGTCAAGTACACATCACTTTGACATATAGCCATAATAAGATTATTAGGTATCCCTGAGGGGAAACCTTTGTGGTTGCCTGATATTATTTTGTTCATAACTCGAGAATGCTTCATCCAATATGCTTCAAATTTTCAACACTTGTGCATGGTAACAAAATTCTTGGAACAACTGGCATGTTCACATGCTCTATGACCAAAGTTGTTGAATCTTTTCTCAGCATAATGGAATGGCTCAGATAACTTCCAAAACCTCGGTGGCATAGCTACAAACGACGACAGCAGTGATATTCAGATGTGTAGGTGCAGATCTGACTATTACGTAAAATAGTGTTCTTTTGTGTCTATGATGTCTGTGACCTCAACTACATTCTTAGGCATTTGTATGTTATTTACACTAGCTTGCATAAAACTTAACTCTTAAAAGCAGGTTAATCATACTTAGGGAAAATTTTGGATTAATTTTAGCTTGCGTAGGTCCCAGTTCACTCTTTTGAAGAAATTGGAAAAAATGAAATATTGCTTTTCATGCGATAATTTCTGAGTGTCACATCTGATTATCTTCAAACCTTCTATTCTCATAACGTGATAATGGAACTTCTGAGGCGCTTCAAGCTTAATGTGCTTGTTTATTTTAGTATATTAATCTCTTGAGATTTTTAATTAGATGTGCGTTATTAATTTATGCCGCAATCTGCACTATTCCAATTGTAGATCAATGGTTCAGAGAACCGACACGTTGATAAATCAACGTGTCGGTTCTCTGAACCATTCATCTACAATCCTGTCAGACACTGCAACTTCTTGAGATCTTAATACTTGGGAATTCTTCGCTTTCCTAATCCTTGGGCACGACCTACTTCCACATTGAACAAATGTGACACCACCTACGACTGCTGCACCTCTCCTGCCTACGGTCTATAAGCTCCTTCTCTGCACTTATGCCGTATTCTATTCAAGATTGATGGACTGACCACATCGACTCAAGGCTGAGGGACTGATTACCTCATTCTCCTCCTATTCTTCAAGATTCTCCTTTGTATGGACTGATGAAGCCACTGTGTGGCGAAACGTTTCCTCAATGAAGATACCCAAGAGTTGCACATGTGTCTAGTTTATCACTATTCCAATTGCTTGCACTGAAACACAAAGGACTGGAGTTATGGAATACGGGAATACTTTCTTCGGATCGAGGAACAACCGAAATACATTTGTCTTTAGTATGTACCTCAAGCCATCATGTGTGCGGTGCATGAGTGTCAGGTCATGTCATATGGATAAAATATTATTGAATATTTGCCAAAGAATTAGCTAAGAGGTTGCCAATTTTTTTGATCAATTATGGATACATGACTTTCCTTTTCATTATAGTGTTATGATAAATGGATTGACTTATCTATCTTGCTCTGTCTCAGGTTTGAGAAGTTTTTTCAGGGTATTTGCCCATTAGTCTCTTATACACAGACTGTTATAATCAAATACCTCATTAATTCTGATATGCAATCGAAAGTTAATTAGATGATATACAGCGGAAAAATTATAATACTGATATTCAGTTGTACCGCTGAGTATAAGTCTTACAATCATGCTTAAGGGAATTAAGAACAGTTATGGAGGATAAACAGTCTTACAATTAAGGTGTCAACCTTCGGTGTTTGTACACGTTTAGGCTTTCAAGGATATAGCAAATACCTGGGATAAGAGGAAGCCCAATTGTTCTTAAAGAACTTCTCTCAAGATGGGAACCATTTCACAATCCCCAGTGTGCCGAAGAAATATTCACAACGTTTTGGTTCATCTTGGACCATTGTCAACTTACACGAGTTGCGTCGTCTAAATTTTCTTCTACAAATTGCGGATTAACTGTAATTTGCTGCAGTGTTTAGCAGTGTGACAACGACAACACATCCACTGCACTGGTGGGTTGCTAAGGGGAAGAGCAGGTAATATGTACTTAACTACCACTGAAAGGAGATATTAAGCCTTTCCATGTGTTCAGTATCCTGAGGAACACCTAAGGGTAATTCTCAAGGCTTTGTTTTGCCTCTGTTGACACTTAGTGTATACAAGTTGCATTATTCTCGTAATTTTTATATTTACTATTATTAAGTAGAGTGAAGCCCTGCCACAACCCTGAACCTCTCTGTATTGAGACTATGTAATAATCACTTGTGCACGATAAGTTTTAAGTACAAGGCCTATGGATTACACGTAGCACAGTGCTAGCGCATTCAGCCACAATTAAATGTATCAGGGGTGAGGGGAGAGGAACGTATGGGGGAGTCTCAAACCAACTGTGCATATTATCTTACAGTAAATATATATACGAAGGAGTTAGTCGACTGTTGTGCGTCGCATCATGGGCAGAAATTATAAAATGAAGCCCAATGAAAAATAATTCACATTGACGTTACCACTGACAGCATGTCAACTCCGCCCCACATAATTTCATAGATTTTTTTATGAATAATAGAATAAATGTTTTACAGTTTCAAAGTCCACAGTAAATCTATATAATTAATGACCCATTTAAGAAGGCAAACTTGGTATTATGAGGTGTTACTGCGAGCACTGAGGCGATACCAGGAAGCCAAATAGTTGTCATCTATATTGCAGGTAAGTATGTTGGCAGCAGTATGTTCACACCATCCAGCACTCCTCCCTCTAGTCCGTACCCCGGACCCAAGCCAGGCCCCGGGCCCTACCACGCCTGGACCCCCAGCAAAGCCCAGACCCCTGCCCCTCCCACGGCCCGGCCCCCATCCATGCTCCCCGTTCTGTTCCCCGTCTTGCCACAAGCTACCTACCTGGAGGGTATTCCGGGAATCAACGCCCCCGCCCACCGGTCCACGACCAGGCCTCCCGGTGGATCAGGGCCTGATCAACGAAGCTGTTACTGATGTCCGGACGCAGTTCAACGTACGAACCACAGCCCGGCTCCCTGCCTCGCCCTCCTCTCCCGCACTGAATCGCCCTCCCCCGCACTGCCTCGCCCCCGCCATGCCTCACCCCGTCATGCCTCACCCTCTTGCCGCTGGGGAAGAAATATTGACTTCATTAAAAATGTAAGATAAATGCACCACGCCTATGTACCTCTATGATTAATACTTTACGATCGTTACACTACCCACTAATGTAATCAATGTATTTTTTTTATCGACAACTGGAGATGTTTGAGACTTATTGGTCAAGCTGTCAGCCAGGAGGCCTGGTCTTGGGCCGGGCCGCCGGGGCGGTGACCCCAGGAATGGACTACAGATAATCTCCAGGAAGGTAATGTTGAGGTTAGTACAAGAGCATCACCACGTACAAACACCACAAATTACACAAACATTACCCGCACGGGTAATGGATGAATGGAGTTCTATGACAAAGTAACAGATGCGAGACAGAAGAGAGGGTTGGGTGGTATGCATTTCCTTCGACAAAACGAAGGCAATAATAAAGTTGGTAGAATTACCGACAATATGTAAAGTAAAACGACACAAGTGCAACTGTGACATTTTTATTGTGGCAATGTTTCGCTCTCTAGGAGCGGCTTGACAAAGCTCCTGGAGAGCCTTAGACTCTATCACTCTACTCGGAAGACTGTCACATGCAGCTTTCTCCACCTGACCCAGCATTCTCATCCTATAAATACTCACGTATGTTTCACCCAGGTAGATCTGTGACTTGATGAAGCCCACTGCATGGGCGAAACATTGTCAATAAAGGATCACATTATACTGCTTAAGTGTTTATATTTCCACTGTGTCGGTATTTTATACCATTTATTTCTATCCAATCAATGCTTGTCTGCCAAATGTAAGAGTAGCCTTCAGTACTCTCACCAGGCTTTCATAGTTCATTATACAACATACGTTATTCCCATATTGGAGTATGCAGCACTGGCACAGAACCTCACACGAAAAAAAAACACGTTAAGAAACTGAAGAAAGTGCAGAAGTATGCGACAAGGAGTATGAGCTACGAGAAGGAAAATCTAATGTCATTTGAGGACGGAATTGCCAGAGGAGACGTATTAACATTAAAAACATTCAGGGATTTGATTGGGTAGACATGGACAGGCTATTTGAGAGGGATACAGCTGGAAGTTAAAGACACAGATGAGCCACAGGGATGTCAAGACATATTTTGTAACTAATGCGACATTTTAGTGTGGCAACGTTATGCTCTACAGGAGCTTTAAGCCGTTCAGCCTCAGTGTGGTCGGTAAGTGGAATGATCTCTATGAAGAAGTGGCGGAGGCAGACTCCAAACATAGTTCTAAAAGTATGATAATGGGTCCACGAGGCTAGGAGGATGTTATCTGGGAAGTGACAAGTTGAGAGGTGGGGCCAGGAGCTGAGACCTGACCCCGGTCACCACAAATATGTAGGTATATCACTTACAGACACCACAAGTCACACATTACCAATTACAAACAAGCAATCTGAGAGCTAATTAACTTCACAACTACTGAGCAGCAGTACGGACATGCGCGAAACAACCCTTCTTTGCACTGTTTTTTTTTTTTATCACAAACAGCTCGTTTGTAAACTGGAACACTAAGCACTTTGTGAGTCTAGGACCTACTGTGCCTGTTTAGATTTGTCTTTCGGTAATTATAATTGCAAACGTGAGAATTAAATATTTACTAGGTCTTTAAGTGGCTTGTGTTTATAGCGTGAGAGCGTCTCATGCGATCAGCTTCAAGTTTACAACACCAGTGTACTTTAACCAGGGAAAGATTCATGCAACTATTGGCACGC